GTATGCCATATCCAAGACTCAACAATACTGCAATATTTTATACTCATACTATTTGGGCTTTATAACCCATTTCTTCTGTTAGGAAAAATTAATCGCCTTTTTTTTTTTTAATAGGGAGGAATATTTTCACTATTGTTTTTAGTGAGTCATCATTTGTCTTTGGTCTTTCAAACAATTTTTTAAAATATTACTAACAGTATTTATGTATGAATCACCTCTCAATGGCTATGCTATAATGTTTTCTAATTTTTATCTATCTTAGTGTCTGAGATAAACCCAAAGTCTTTTAAAAATATCTGCTCTGGCAAAAATTGAGTCTGTCCATATCAGGAGGGGAGAGAAATGAGGACTGGGATGTTGGAAGGAAGAGAATTATTGGTTAATAAATTTTACCTTCTAAATCACTGAAATTCAAAAGTATTAAGAATGGCAATATCATGGCTAATGTTCAAAAATTGGCTAATGTCAAACATTTCCAGTAAATTATAATCATGAGGGGTTATTCAAAGTTCAACATAAATCAAAACACCAGAAAATATCCACTTGCCATGTTTAATATATAAGGTCAACCCAAGGTGAAATCCACACAATTCTAAATTTATTTCAAGCTTTTTGATAGAAATTTTTAAAAATCACAGACTCGCGCTACCTAATAATTGCTTCATTATTGAATAATAGCCCAAATTAGTTGCACTAATTTAGCATTCTTAAATTTGTAATTATTTTCATGTGAAGCAATAAACACTAGCTTTTACACAATGCATATGAACACATATTAATTTTCAATACTTACTAAACTTTCATATAAGCATTAAAAATTAGAATGCTATCTAGCAGCTTGTCCTTAAGATATGAAATTTTTTTACAAGCCGGAAAAACAAGAAGATCTGCTATAATAAATTTAGTACAAAAATCTCCTGTAATAAAATGCACTCATAAGGAAAGGAGCAACATAATATGGTAGTTAAAAGCATAGATTCTGGGAGCTGACTGCTTGAGTTCAAATTATAGTTCTGCCATATACTAGCTGTGTGAACTTGGACTAGTTACATAACCTCTCTGTGCTTCAGGTTCCTCACTTCAAAAATGAGGATAATAATAGTACCTACTCCACAGGGTTCTTGTGAGGAATACATAAAGCAATCAGAACAATGCCCAGCAAACAGTAAACAATAAATGTTAGCTATTATTATTGGATTTGTATTAGTTGTCTTCGTATTAATATTAGGATTAGTATGAGTATTAGTAATATTCCAAGGAAGAAAGACATTACACATAATCATAACTAAAGCACAATATGAAAACCACATCTAGAAACTGGCAAGAAATTATACTATAAAAAGTTATAACCATATTTCTGAAGTTTTGTATTGCTTAGAAACAGAGTACATAGTTAAGCCATAATATTCATGTTCTTGATAAATTACGCACACTGTTTTCCATGACACTATCCTCTAAGGTATGACATTATAGTGACCAATGAGTCTTCTAATACGGTAGACATATAAGGCAGGATTTTAACTAGCCACTACATGGAGTAGTACCTAGAAATATTTGAGACTAATAAATATTCTACTTTCATTCAAATCAGAGCCAATAAAGCTATTATCTCTTTATCCTAAAATCTAATGAGGTGGCTTACAACCTGAATCATATTTACTGCAACATAAAAACTACGTAAACCATAGTTTACTATGTTATAGTAAATATGATTCCCTTTTGCTTTCTCCTTTTCCTTTGCCCCCATCTATTCTAAATGCCTTTCATGAAAATGTATATCCAGTTTGCTCTTTGCTCTTTGAATTTTCAGACTTCCACCTATCCAGATAACTACCCCATAGTTCCATGGCCAATTCAAGATCCTTTATCTGCTCACTCAAAAGCAAACTGCTGGCCCATAATCCACAACAGGATAACTCACATATGGTTCATCAGGAGTTGGTTCCATTTTAGAATGTAATTTTACAATTAAATTTAGATTTCACTAAACAAAGGTATCTACGTATTAATTTTCCTAATCTAACTAGAGAGCTAAAAATTGGTAGGGTTCAAATATACTGTAGTAGGGCTATACCTTCAAGGACAATATCTAGACTTCTGTAGTTTATTTTCTAAATTGGATGATTATCAATATTCACATACCCATAGTAATGTTAACATTTCCTATTTCTTTACACATGCATTTACTTAATCCACAGCAATCCTTTGAGCTAGACATTATCCCCATTTTACAGATGAAGAAATTGCATAAGCACCAATGAAACAGACACTGTATATAATTTTGTCAGGTTCCTGAGGAAGTTCTTACTATCCTAGAGAAAAACCAGTTAGTGCGAAATTACTATTGCTAAGTAGATTTTCAATCTCTTCAATACTGCTAATGCAACCTGGAATCTCACCCACTGTCCTAAAACTTTCTGTGTGGCCAAAATGTATCTACAGTATTCTTACTCTAAACGTGCTAAGTGGGGAAAGGGGATGTGGGTGGATCTGCATTGGCCCTATTCAGCTACCTAATAAATTCACACAGGATGCATCAAATACAGTAATAGCCGGGAACATGGCCTTTCACGACTTTTGCTAAACCTTCACCTGCCCTTGCAAAAAAAATTTTTTTGAACTTTAGAATTTATTACCTAATTACAACAATGGACAATATAACCACTTAATTAGCTTGCCCGAAACCAAATTTTAAATTGTTTATGTGTCATCTAAATGTCATAGTGTTTAACAGTTCTGTATGCCACTGACAAATGGTGAAATGTGCTGAATACAATTATAAGTAAATGTACTTAAGACTGACTTGAGAAAAAAATTCAGTTTAAGATTGAATGTTTTTGCTTCCAAGGTTTAGCTACAGAAGTAAATAAGCTGAGTGCTTTAATATGAATCAAAACAGCGTTTAAAAAATAAAATATTTTTCTATCAGTTCTCTGAGAAGCACAAAGGCAAAATTACTTCTTTTGCAGCAAAATTACTTTATACAATTTGTGCAGAAATGTCAGTATATGTAATGATGATTATAGGAGGATAAGGGGTGGGGGGAGAAACCTAGAATTTTATTAAAAAAATAAAATTAAAAAAAACCAAAGTATGCCTCAAGGCATACCTATAGGAGTGCAGTGAAGAAAAATTTTTTTCCATATTTGGAACTTTTTTTTTTAAGGGTAAAGCTCAGAACTGATACAAGAATTCTTGTTAACTACAGGTTAAACTCTTAAAGACTCTCAACTTTTTCTTTCTCTCCTTTACTGAAGTTTTTATTTCTAAAGCACTTCTCTGCTTTAACATGGAATATTCAAAATATAAAACTTACACATAATGTCATTTAAGAGGGTAAGAGCAACCATTATATAAGAATGCAAATACATATAGGTTCCAATCATAATGGAAATGTAGCTGAATATCTAACACTTCATCTGAAAGGTGTTTTCATATCTAACACTTCATCTGAAAGGTGTTTCGTAAACTAAATCCTAATTATCAAAATGGTTAACAAAAAATCTCATTGAATGTGTTCATTTACTTCCAGTTATTTTTGGCTAAACTAAACTTTATTCAATCATTCTGCGAATGCTTATCATTTATCACGTGGTAGATAATAAGGGTACATTGGGGAAGAAAAATTGAGATGGTACCTACAATTTGTTTGATATGCCCTTATATTTTTAATAGTTTTTATTTTTTTTAAACTTAAACTCCATTAATTAACATAGAATATATTATTAGTTTCAGAGGTATAGGTCAGTGATTAGTCTTACATAACACCCAGTGCTCATTATACCATGTGACCTCCTTAATGTCCATCACCCAGTTACCCCATCCCCCATATACCCTTATATTAACCAGTACAGAAAGTTCTAAAATCTTACAGTATTGATACTTGATAAAAATATTTCCCCAAATATGCATTATTTATAATCCACAAATCATAATTCAGTAATATTCCAAAGAAAAGTTCTAATAACAGAGAGGGTTATCTGGCACAGAAATATGCCAGCAAAAACAAACAATCTATTTCAGTAATCTTAAATCACACTACCTAAATATGGAATTTAATGTTCTTACAGAATGCTCAAAGTATTTTTCTTTTAATCTGTTCCCGAATGCCTTATTATATTAAAAAAATTGATTTTTATATCACTTGGCATTTTATGTGCTTTGATAGAGTACATTTTGCTTTATTAAACCACAATGTGTTTAGGCAGCACTAAAGTATTAAAACATGCATCTTAAAAGTGAAGAGGTTTTTTGCCAACAGTTTTAAATTCCCCATGATAATCAGAAGGTCTAAAAATACTGTAAACCACTAAACTGATACAACATATAGATGTCCTATTGTGATCTTTCACACACAACCCTCCAAATGCATTAGTGACTTTAGCTATAAATGGAATACATATAAATACATAAATAGTATGTATTCTGTGTTAAATATAAACATGTAATTTCATCAAGAACATTTCTATTTAATCAAGCTCATTGATATCAACAAATAAGCAAAACAAAAACCTTCGTGTGAAGTGGAGATAGAAGAGTGAGAGTTGGGAATGACGCTAATGTGGACGGGTTTCTTTCTGGGGTGATGAAAGGGTTCTAAAATTAGACTGTGGGGATGGCTGCACAACTCCGAATATACTAAAAACAACCCAAAGCATGCTTGAAATGCATGAATTTTATGATATGTGAAATAGATTTCAATAAAAATGGGACTGAAAAACCCTCCATATAAAAAAATTCTTCAAACTCCAGTCTCTAAAAGCATCCATGGGTATAAAATTATTGCTTCCCTCACTGTTCAATTATTGTATCATCCCTCATTTTATTCACTAAGAAAGCTACCAAATGCAAAGGTAACAATGGAAATTTTAACACCTGTCTTTGGATGGTAGCATTATATCTCAAATCATTCAGTTTTCCCTAGTGGGTACCTTAAATAATTACTACTTCACATACCTTTAAAACAAATCTCTCCAAAAACTCAATATAGATTCTTATACCTGGTAATCCAAGATGCTGAATCCCAAGCCTTTATGATCTTTTACGAGTTCAACAATCTTGACTTCAGGAGACCATAGTGCTAATTCCCCATCATCATCATCTTCAGTATTGATGCCTACACTGTGGTCAGCCTGAAAAAGATAAATGCTTCAAAACATTGTCCTTTCAATTCTGAAAAGAATTAACATATCAGGAATCTCATAGCTTCTTCTCCAACTGGGAATTCTCTTTGGCATGCATACTTTATCTTTTTAATCTTTTCAGAAGGGGCATGCCCTGGGGCATACACACTCTAGTATAAGATCTTCATGGAAATTCAAGTACTTAAAAATGCAGACTGTTCATAGAGTTGGATTTTTTTAAATGTAAAGTACCTGTTTCATTCAAAATATTAACACTGACCTCTTATACTTCAATGAGTTCTGTCATCCCATTAGAAGCATAAAAGGAAAAATACGCAATTTAAGAAAAAAAATGAAAATACCATATACAATCAAAGCTTATAAGATATTTAGGTAGCAAAACATGAACTCATAATTACAGTGAAAGATAGAAAGATGCCAACAGAGAGAGAGGATAGTACAAGACACAAGAGAAACCACTTCGCTGGCTTCTGGAAATTTTCAAGAAAAACTTCACTAGGAAAAGTGGAAAAAAATCCAAGTCCTTGGGAATCATCTAAGTCTAAAAAACCGGTAAAAAAAAAAAAAAATCACTGAGTTGAAATAATGAAAATCTCATCTTGGAGGATCTAAGTCAGCAAAACTATCCAATACACAAGTCCTTGGTTATTTTCCTTGACTTCATACCCCCAAAGCCCCTATTCCAGGCGCCCCCCTCCTTTCAGGGAGAGTCACTGCTACAGGGACTTCTAGGAAGCTCAATGATAGCGGGTAAATGAGTCGACTACACAGAAGAAGAGCTGCTTCAAACTTCAGTTTTTATTACTATTTACAGCACTGTATTGCGTTTTCATATGATTTATCTTCCTCAAAATACTCTGAACATCTATCTGAAGCTCAAAGATTATCTTCTTGTTCTTTGTAGCCCTAGCAACTAACAAAATGACAAGCTAGAATGGAAACTCTGTGTGGGCTACCATGGGGTTTACCAATAGCTATCCACTCAGCACACAACAGAGCCCGGCTCACAGTAGGCGCTTGATAAATATTTGTCCAATACATTAACAAATCATCCATCTTTGACTGCATATCCCTTGAAACTTTTTAAATAAAGCTACAGACTAAATAGTAATCTTTAAAAATAGACTTCTTAAAACTTAGGGTGCTCTTAGTAAATAGAATCAAAGTGCATCATTCCCAGGAACATAATTTTTAGTGACTTGCATTAGAAAATCCACTTAATGAAATCAAAGGGAGGGGACCCATCTAATATGGAAGAGTAAGGCACCATAGCAAGTACAAAAACATTTTTTAAATTAGGGTTGGTCCTCAAACTGTCCCCGCAGGACATGGAAAGTCAAAACTCAATCCATGGTGGATTGAGTCTAAACATGGGAACAATTTCTGGGTTCTTGAATTACAAAACTTGAAATTAGTGGGATGTTCTGGATCAATAACCTCTGTATATATCAGCCTGATGTGAGGAAATGATATTTAAAAAGAAAACATTTTTATACCTTCCAATAAAAAGTAAAGTTCCAATAGCTAATATAATATGATTGATGTTTTACTGGGGCATTTAATACCCTCACTTATTAATGAGCATTAGAATTCTGGCTGAGCTGCCTAACCAGATAAGGTTTAAGAACCTAAGATGATATGGGGATAAATGAAAAAAGAAAAAAAAAGAAAAGCCAGGATTTTAAGAAACCGCACACACTTATAAAGCCTAAGTTTACAGAAATGTTAAAGCATCCAAGGTATATAAGATATTATACTCCAACCTGAGATACATCACTTTGATACAATCAATTCTGTATAACTCCTGTATTTACAGAATAGAAAGCAATCAACTAATGGGCAGCAAGGCTGACATTTAGAATAATTCAAAGCTGTTGTTTACCCATTGTGGTAAAGGATGACAGATGGGAGCACTGAGTCAGCAAGCTGGGTGATTTACACACCCTGTAAGATTAGATTAAAGGCATTTTTATCAATCTTTAGAGGTAAGCCCTCATCCACATGAATTTTAGCAAAGATACTAAGAATCACAAAAGTGGTATTCAAGTTCCTTCCCTGAAATATGTTTTACCAAAGATAAACATTAAGAAAAAAAAGATTCTCGGGGCACATGGGTGGCTCAGTCAATAAGCATCTGCCTTCGGCTCAGGTCATGATCCCTGCTCCGCGGGAAGCCTGCTTCTCCCTCTCCCACTCCCCCTGCTTGTGTTCCCTCTCTCGCTGTGTCTCTCTCTGTCAAATAAATAAAATCTTTAAAAAAAAAAGATTCTCAATCAATAATGGACTAAGCAATTCTTATACACCCGGTACAGAATAAAAACACTATGAGACACAAAATAATTTTAAGATACAACTCTGCTCACAGGAGCTAAGTTTTCTTGTAAAAGCAAGCTTAATACACATGAAAGCATCTGTGACCATAAGGCAGGGCTAGCCTCGCACATACTTCAGGCAATCAGGAAACAAAGATGGCTGGACTGGAGGAGTCAAGAGCTATAATTAACTTTTCCAGAGCACTTCTCATGTGCAAGGCATTGCACTAAGAGCTGGGCATATATTACTTCATTTCCTTCTCACACAAACTGATGAGGGCAGTAAGTACTATAAGTATCCACAATTTTCAAAGAAAGAATATGAACAGAAAGTCAAGTTATTTGCTCAAGAATTCACTAAGTGGTAGATGCATGATTATCTTGAAACTCAGACCACAGGCAGGTAAAGGGAAGGCTCTGTGTGTCTAAACTGGTGTTAATGGGTGGCTCAGTTGGTTAAATGTCTGCCTTCAGCTCAGGGCACCTGGGTGGCTCAGTTGGTTAAATGTCTGCCTTCAGCTCAGGTCATGATCTCAGGGTCCTGGCATCAAGCCCTGCATCAGGCTCCCTGCTCAGCGGTGAGTCTGCTTCTCCCTCTCCCTCTGCTGCTCCCCCTGCTTGTACACTCTCTCTGTCAAATAAATAAAATCTTAAAAAATATATAAATAAATAAACTGGTGTTAAGGAACTATAATCTGTAAGGGAGTGGGGGTAGGGTAGGGGAAGTGGCATAAGAGATGACGTTACAATTGGCATAAGATGGCAAAGCACGGGGGCACCTGGGTGGCTCAGTCATTAGGCGTCTGCCTTTGGCTCAGGTTGTGATCCCAGGGTCCTGGGATCGAGCCCCGCATTGGGTTCCCTGCTCCGTGAGAGGCCTGCTTCTCCCTCTCCCACTCCCCCTGCTTATGTTCCCTCTCTCGCTGTCTCTGTCAAGTAAATAAATAAAATCTTTAAAAAAAAAAATGGTAAAGCACGTGCTTAAAACTGTTTTTATAATCACAATGTTCTTAAAAAAAAAAAAAAGTACCAAGAGCACAGAAAATGTTATTTTATTCTCTGACCTTCTGAAGGCTTTTACAGCAATTTTTACTCACTTCGAAATTGGTCATAGATCTTCATATTTCTAAGGCTCTGAAAAAGGGAAGTCCATTAGATATTCAACACTCACCAACATCTTAAGTTTAAGATGAACTGAGTTGAACTGGGAGCCAAAAGTAATGAGCCCAGGAAATTACTAAAAAAACGTTCTCTAAAATCGAAGTGCATGCACATTAATGTCACCAACATTTCAAGTAAAAAGAAAAAAAAGAAGAGAAAAAGTTTTATGATGTGAAACGAAAAGTAACGGTTTGTAAAGCTATGCATTATTGCCTTTGAGCGCTACTGCAGTCAAATAAAAGAAGATGGAAATTTCTCCCCTCCTTTCATATCCAAATACACTCTTCAGGGCATTCTTGATGAATGCTCATTCCTATGGGAACCATAGAATATTCAGCTAGTACCTCCATCTTGGGAAGAGGGGCTTCAGTGTTCCTTGGTTCATCCACAGAAGCTTCATCATCAAATAATCGTCGACAGCAAACCAAGGTAAAGGGAGGAGGCACCTCTTTGAGAAAAGAGACTGCTTCTCGGCGAGATTTCCCATACAGTTGCACGCCATTGACCTAGAAAGACAAGTGATAAGTCAGAATTGAGCAGGCCCCGAAGAAAAAACCACAGTCCCATGCTCACGTGGATCTATCCAAATAAAAACAGGATTGTTTTATTTTCCCCATGAACAAAGGGTCTAAATGTAACCACATTATTTTAGTAGTAACTAAAAACATTAGAAATCAAATGTATAAAAATTAAGGCTAAACCTTTATTGAATTTCAGTGAAGAAAGTCTAAGATGTGTGCAGATGACAAGTGATCTGCCTAATTTTTCACACCTCCATGGTTTCTCTTTTCTACCCTCCAATGTTGAATTCCCTCATCTACTTCTATACATCTCTCCTTAAATACACTAGATATCATTGCTAGCCTTCCTAAGACCACCTCCTTTTGCTTTTTCATTTCATAAAAGTATCATTATAGATATTCACACTAATTTGAAAGCTGTAATTAAAAACCGCTCAATTTACAATGTGTAGGTAACAAAATCTAGGATACTCAGCTGTCAAAATTTAGCATCACTTTTCACAATTTTCTTTCACATGCCATAAACTTTTTTTTAATTTAAATTCCATTAGCCAACATATAGCAAATCCTTAGTTTCAGATGTAGAGTTCAATTAATTCATCAGTTGCATATAACACCCATGCTCATCACATCACATGGCCTCTTTAATGCCCATCCACCCAGTTACCCCATTCCCCCCCGCAACCTCCCATCCAGCAACCCTCAGTTTGTTTCCTAGAGTTAAGAGTCTCTCATGGTTTTTCTCCCTCTCTGATGCTTAATACCATCCTAGAGAAATCATGTCTATAGAAATACATGTAAGTTTCCCTCCCTTCTATTCTTACATGTTCTGCTCACACAGCCGTCAAGTATAGGAGGTGTGTCAGTTTTCAAATTGTCTGATGTGTGTTCCATATGCTTAAAAGAACAAAATGATAACCAACTACTCCTAATGCTTCGCACTTATCACCACAAAATTATCTAAGTTTCATATTTTAGTGCACAGTAATAATATTTTGCACCAAAGATGACTTAGAAAGATAAACCTATTCTGATTTTTTATCTATTTGACTTAAGCTCCAGAAGCTCTCTCAGTTCTGACTCAATGCCACTAAAACTGATCTGCCTGCTACTGCCCAAAAGCTGAGGCATGAACATAATCCAGGCATTAACCCAATCTTTTCCCATCTGACTCCTACCTTCCTGGGAGGGTTCAGTGGCATTATTAGTTTTAAAGATATTTCTGGGCGGGCATCAGTTTCTGACAGGTGCCATGCTAATGTCCAGATCACTGGTGGGGCTGACTTTCCTGGGAGAAACCTTTGCACAGAACCTGTCCTTCTCCGAGAATATGACACTGTGGGTTGTTGCAAGCATCTCCGCGGCAGCAGTCTGAGCCCCAAGTCAATCATCCATGGGAGTCACTCTCAGGCCCTCAACATACAAGCACTTAGCCGTCAGGCCAGACATCATATCTCTGCCTCTTAATTATTTACAGAGATATCACAACAGAGTAAAGAGACCCGTACGTGCTTCAGGGAGCTGGTCCTGGTAGAAAAGTCAATTATCATCTCCCAGGACTTTCTGACTGATGAAAGAGATCCGGGGAACAGCAAGTTCAGCAGCTGATAAAGGTTTTTCCTCAGAATAACTCAAAGTCAACCTTCACTGGTCACATCATGTCCCCAGTGCCAACTGGTGCCAAAACACAGAAAGTTCTCAAATCATCCAAACGTGCAGTGCCCTATCCTGAGAAGCAAGCAAGCGGGTATAACCAAAGCCAGGAATTCTCCCCATATGCAAGTCTTAATTTGTGTTTCACATTACTTCAACAAATTAGAAAATCACTTTTCAGGTTTTTATCTTGGAGTACATTTAAATATTTATTTAGCTCATTATTTATTCATTTGAATCGTCTCCAATTATTATAGCAGTGCCTGGTAGTCCTCCTCACTGCTCTCCACTGTTAAAGGGATTGGTCACATTTCCCATTACCATTACCCCTATCTAAGAGGATTTATGGCTGCTGTAAATAGCTGCTCTGGGCTAAGACTTGGAACAATGTTCTAACCCCAAAGCATATTTGTGTTTCTGGTTTTAAGCTCTAAGGAGTACACCCCCCCCCCCACACACACACACACTTTAGGTTCAGGAGTTTATTTGGCTAACTTTAGAGAGATATTTTTTATTTCTATATCTGGCTATTCAGAATAAGCCCATTTTTATTTTAGAGTTCACACTATTTCTCTAGGCCCTCCAACTTGAGACTCTCTTAAGTGCTATCAAGCCTCAATTATTCAGACTTTGTTATTAGAAAGAACACACACATACACATTTGCAGAGTACATAACACTGTACAAGTATTGTCCCACCACATTACCTCATTCAATCCTCATTCATCTTAACCCATAAAGATTGTTTATGCCTTTTTACAGTGATAATACTACCAAGTATTATCTCTCACAGTGAGGTAATGCTTTAAAGTTTACATGGATGAGTGCAGCCACTCTGGAAAACAGTATGGAGGTTCCTCAAAAAGTTAAAAATAGAACTACCCTACAATCCCACAAACACAGTACTGGGGATTTACCCAAAGAATACAAAACACTAATTCAAAGGGATACATGTACCCCAATGTTTACAGCAGCATTATTTACAACAGTCAAATTAAGGAAGCAGCCCAAGTGTCTAGCGACTGATGAAGGGAATGGATAAAGAAGATGTGGTACACACACACACACACACACACACACACACACACACACACACACTGGAATATTATTCAGCCATAAAAAAGAATGAAATCTTACCATTTGCAATGACATGGATGGAGCTAGAGAATATAATGTTAAGTGAAATAAGTCAGAGAAAGACAAATACCATACAATTTCACTTGAGGAATTTAAGAAACAAAACAAATGAGGAAAGGGGGGAAAAAGACAAATCAAGAAAGAGACTCTTAAAAAAAAAAAAAAGAGACTCAATTACAGAGGACTGAGGGTTACCAGAGGGGAGGTGGGTGGGGAGTGGGTGAAACAGGTGAAGGGGATTAACGAGGGCACTTGTCGTGATGAGCACAGGGTGATGTATGAATTGCTGAGTCACTATATCGTATGCCTGAAACTAATAAAACACTGTATGTTAAAATAAATAAATAAATAAAGCTTAAGGGACACCTGGGTGGCTCAGTCAGTTAAGTGTCTGACTCTTAGTTTCAGCTCAGGTCATGATCTCAGGGTTCTGAGACTGAGCCCCGGGTCAGGCTCCATGCTTAGCACTGAGTCTGCTGGAGATTCTTTCCCCCTCCCTCCCCCTCTGTTTCTCTCCACACCCACCCCCACCAGCTCGCACACTCTCTCTCAAATAAATAAAATCTTTAAAATAAAATAAAAGTTTACATTGATGATATTCCACTAGACCCTCATAAAATAATGGTGAGGTAGCCACCTATTGATGAAAAAACAACTCTCAAAAACAGTTGAGTGACATGTCAGAGGACAGATTGTGAAGCTGTGGCAAATTAAAATGCAGAGGCAGCTCTCTGACTTCAAGCCTTTGCTTCACTCCCTATCTCCAGTGTTTTCACCAGAAATCTTTACTTAAGAATTTCAGTATACTACCTGATTATATGTTTTGTATGCATATTTTTTCTTGGAGAAAAGTATTTTATTATTCTTTTAATTGTAGTTAACAGAACACTGTATGTTAACTACACTGAAATTAAAATTTAAAAAAATTGTAGTTGACATACCATGTTACTTTCAGGTATACATGTATATTTCTCCCAAAAAAAAAAAAGAGAATCAAACTGGTTTTTACTAATTACACTTCTCTCCACACAAAAATATCTCCTTTCTCAATACCTAAAAACTACAGAAATGGTCTCTAATCTATAGATTATCATGTTTGATATCCATAAAGCTATGTATGTGCCCCAACAATCAAAAGATATGATCTCAGTACCAAAACCAAAACAATAAACAAAAAACAAAACAAAAAAACCCTAAGTCATGTAGTAAAACCTAAAGACATTATTCCACAATAAGCATCCCAGTAGGATTCCCTGAGCACTTCTAAAAATAAGCTGCTTACTACAGCTTAAAACAGGACTCCAACATCTTGCCCTCCTATGCTTATAACAAAATTTAACAACCAGTCATAGCAGCTTTCCCTCTGACCTCAGAAGTCAGCCCAGAATTCTCAACATACTTCTCTAGGTGGCCAGACACTGCTCAAAAATGCAGCTGCACCCAACAACCCTATTTGCTATCCTTGTCATTTCACTTTGAGTAAACATCAACCTTAGAAAGACATCTCTAAAATCAAGGCCCATTGGAGTCTAATCTTGGCTAAGGCTACAAGGTTGATTCTATTAAACCCAAGTTAGAACTTCTTGTGGTTCCTAACTCTTGGCAGAACCTTCTTTTACATAGCTTTAAGTCTGACCATTTCCCACATTTATTTTTTTATAAGCTTAGGAAGTAGTGTATTTGAAAAAACAGTGAAGTGGGAGGTAGAAAACATGAACTAAAGTCATCATGCTATGAGTATATAAAGTTGGGGAAAATCAATGCCTTATTTTCCTGTCTTTAAAATTAGGGGATTCAATGCTGTTTGTTACATTAGCTCTAAGACCATCCAATCTAACAAAATCTCTCAAGAAGGTTATATCAAAGCAGAAGTGCTCTAGAATTGCTCTAGCTGAAGATAGGCTGGGGAGCCTGAGTGAGCCCACAGAGGCTGCCATGTTGGGGAAGCAAGTCCCAAGGAGACAATCTGAATACCAGTCAGTAATACATAAGCCTAATACATTAGCCTATCCAGCTAGCCTAATTCTTATTAGAAATAACCAATAAAACCTGCAAGTGAATGTGTCTACATGTTGCAAACAAGGGGTAGGAATTTGTCTCTTAAAAAAGAATTTTGCGGGAGGGGAAGAATGAAGCGGGGGAAATCGGAGGGGTAGACGAACCATGAGAGACGATGGACTCTGAAAAACAAACAGGGTTCTAGAGGGGAGGGGGGTGGGGGGATGTGTTAGCCTGGTGGTGGGTATTGAGGAGGGCACGTTCTGCATGGAGCACTGGGTGTTATGCACAAACAATGAATCATGGAACACTTCATCTAAAACTAATGATGTAATGTATGGGGATTAACATAAGAATAAAAAAAAAAGTACCTTAATAAAAAAAAAAAAGAATTTTGCTGGGACACATGGGTGGCTCATCAGTTAATCGGCTTGGGTCATGATCCCAGGGTGCTGGGATCGAGTGCCGCATCTGGCTCCCTGCTCAGCAGGGGGCCTGCTTCTCCCTCTGCCCCTCCCCTTGCTTGTGCGTGCTCTCTCTCTGCCAAATCAATAAAATCTTTAAAAAAGAAAAGAAATTTGCTAAAAAAAAATCCTAATTATGCTATTAAACTAAAACAGGACATTAGCTTCTTTCTCAATCACTTAAATAAGCACTCAAAAGAACATCTAAGGAGTCCCAAAAGATGGGGAAAATGAACTGAAAGCATATTATCTATTTTCTTTATCATTACATAGGCTGTATTTTTCTTTGCCTTTATTTCATTTTCTCCAGTTTTATTGAGATAAAATTGACACACAACATTGTGTAAGTTTAAGGTGTACAATGTCATGATTCGACATACATCTATATTGTGAAATACTGTCACAGTGAAGTTAGTTAACACATTCATCACTCACATGGTTACCATTTTGTGTGTGTGGTGGGGGGGTGGTAAGAACATTTAAGATCTACTCTTACAGCAACTTAGGGACTATCGTTAACAATACTGTGTTGTATACTTGAAAAGATAGTCCCCATCAAAAACTAATGATGTAATATATGGTGACTAACATAATAAAATAAAATTTAAAAGAAAAAAAGAAAAGATAGTCCCCAAGTATTTTTCAATGTAAGTAGTTCACATTACATTGGCAGTAATGTAATTCAGTGTATTTCTAGTAAAAATACATTTTCCTACAACTCAGAAATTACTGTCCTGTGTCTTTTATCTCTCAGAAATTTTACCTCAAGAAGCTCATCCTCTGGCTGCAGGAGGTTCAGTGTATCAACAGGACCACCTGGAGCAACTGAAGAGATATAATGGTGCCCATCAAAGGAATCCACTTCCATGCCAAGCCTCAGAGTATGAATCGGCAGCAGCTGTAGCAAAACACAAAGCAACAACATCAGACCTGACAAGGGCATATCCAGCTGTTAATCCTCCATCAAGTATTATTTTGACATGAAAATCCCACCTCTTGAATCAGATCATCAAGGTCCCAATGGAGGACAATAATGGGAAAACTAGCCACCAATAAAATATGAATAATTTGTCTTCTTGCTCTTACTCTTTTCCTTTCAGATTCCCGAGGGATAGAGAGACGGATGTACAGTCCTGCCTTCAATTCTAAGCATCAGGCATTCCAAACTTTCTATAGTTCCCAGTATGGATTCTAGGTTTCACTTTTCTGCAGGGCTTCCCATCTCCCAGAACATTCTAGTTCCTCCTTATTACCTAATTTCCACTCACACTTCAATACTAAGGCAGTGTCACTTCCAGGAAGTTCTTCCTGATATCTGAGTTAATGTGCCTCTGTTTGGGGTCCAAGACCACCTTGTATAGATCTCCATCACAGCTCATAACCTACTGTGTTTAGAATTTCTATTTTCTTGATCGTTCCCCCTGCTTAAGTGCAAAGTTTGTATCTTCTCTCTATAACCTCAGACCCCACAATAGTACCAGGCACAAAACATGGACTCATTAAATATTTTTTTGAACTAATCTGTGAAAAATGATGCCTCACCCAAGAACTCCTTTTCTGGGGCACCTGGGTGGCTCAGTCGTTAAGCATCTGCCTTTGGCTCAGGTCATGATCCCAGGGTCCTGGGATTGAGCCCCTCAGTGGGAAGCCAGCTTCTCCCTCTCCCACTCCCCCTGCTTGTGTTCCCTCTCTCACTGTCTCTTTCTCTGTCAAATAAATAAGATCTTTAAAAAAAAAAAAAAAAAGAACTCCTTTTCCATCTCACCAACTTTAGTGGGAACAATTTCCAGTTGGGGAAGGGTGGCTATGTAATGAGGAAGGCAATCATTATTCCATCCTAGGATTGACACTGTTGGCTTAGAAGGATTCATATGGGCTCAGATATGAGTCAAGGGTTAAGAAACTCCAGCCCATGTCAAGGTAAAGAGATGACACCTGGTGTTGTTGGCTGTAAAGGTCAAATGCACTCACCAAACTCTACTCCCTTGACTTTTAAAGATGGAGCTCATGATTTCTCATTGAGGCTATATAAACTCAAATGTGGTAAATGGTACTAATCATGACTTATATTTCCTATATCAACAGTCTATTTATCTAAAAATACAAGGTCCCCCTCTAACTATGTATTTGATAAGGAGAAAACCCTACACAGCATGGTAATGCATCTACAACATGGTTCTTCCTTCATATTTCCTATTCCCTGTGACCCCTTATCTCTGAGCTTGTCACCTCCCCTTAGTCATCTGCTCTGAATCCCCAGAGTTCTACAGGCTTCAGACACCATCTGGGGTTGATTTCCTTCCCACTATATACACACAGACAAATGTGAAGTGGCAAGCAGTCCAGCACACCAAGACCTCAATGACTTAAAACAGGCATGAGGGATTTCTGGCCCTGGGCTAATTTTCTGAAAATTAAGTGCTCTTGACCACCAAGCACTTCAGGATCTACAACCATCTCTGGCAAGTTCTAATGCTCTAAATGGAAGGTTAGCATTGTTTTTACTCTTGTTTCCTCTCTGTGATTTCTTTATTTCTCACTGTGGTCCCTTCATCCTCTTGCCGAGTCACTGTACCAAATCATGCATATCAAACCAGAAGACGACATCGGTTTTATTAATGTTGGTGGGTTTTGTTTTTGTTTTTGTTTTTTTAGTCTTTTCTTTAATAGTTAAAAAGGTTAAATAAAAACTCTCAGACAAATGTTTCTGTAAAGAAAAACTAACCCATCCATGTCTGCCAACTCTCTCCCTTCCTTTGTTTATGAAGCAAACACTGGGGCAGAGTGGTCAGTATGTCCAACCATAGGTCATCCCCAGTGGTATGAAGACTGCTTGCAAGAACAGATTGCTCAATTTTCAGGAATTTTGCAAGTCAGCTGTTAAATGTAGCCATCACTAAAAAATAAATTCTATACAGCTACAGTTAAATAAATGATATTAAAAATAAATCTAATAAGTATTCAAAATCCATCACTTCCTAATTATTTTTACCACACTATCTACCTTCTTTAAGGGACTACTATGTACAGTGGAAATACTATCTAAATACTCTATATGCTACTGAAGGGGTGAACTGAAAGACAAATGAAATGGATGATTTGTTGAGTTGCTAAATGAAGCTGGGCAAGGTAATTAAATAGCTCTGTTCCCACAGAGAAATCTGAAATGATGAAGTGCTATTGTGAATCGTTTCCCAACTTAGTGTCAGTGATGTCATTCAGGTAGCTTGAAATCTGCCATGGTGGGATTATTTACACCACAGGTACTGGTAAATACTACAAATTTGGACTGCTTTTCATTCGATTTTTTTTTTTTGAAAGATTTTATTTATTTATTTGAGAGAGAGAGAATGAGACAGAGAGAGCACACGAGAGGGGGGAGGGTCAGAGGGAGAAGCAGACTCCCTGCCGAGCAGGGAGCCCAATGCGGGACTCGATCCAGGGACTCCAGGATCATGACCTGAGCCGAAGGCAGTCGCTCAACCAACTGAGCCACCCAGGTGCCCTCGTTTGATTTCTTTTGCTGTTGTGAGAGCTAGACATTTACAAGCATACCACCGATCTACAATCTAGTCTGGACATGATATGCAGCATATATTTATAGGATATAAACTATGTGCAAGGATTTGCGTTATGAGCTGGAATCATAAGGTGAATGAAAGAAACAGTCCTGACCCTCCACAGAACTAATATCAGTGTGAAAGACAGACGATAAATAAGCAAGAGGGCAAGCAGACACAAACAAGTAAGAAAACAATTCGCCAACAAGGGCACCTGGGGGGCTCAGTTAGTTAAGTGTCTGACTCTTGATTTCGACTCAAGTCATGATCTCAGGGTCATGAGATTGAGCCCTGAGTCAGGCTCTGTGCTTCTCAGGAGTCTGCTTGAGATTCTCTCCCTCTGCCCCTCCCCCTGCTCACATTCCCTCAATCTCTCTCTCAAATAAATCAATCTTTAACAACAACAAAAAGAAAACAATTCACCAACAAAGAAGCGAAAACCAAATAATTACTAATTGTGATAAATGCTATGAAGGAACTAATCAGGGTCAAGATACCACACACGACTGGTGGAGGTAATTTTGGAAAGTTGGTCAGGGTAGGTTTCCCAGAGATGGGGACATGTGTGGTAAGAATTGAAGGGTCAGAACACATCAGTCCTACAAACAGCCTGCTAGGGGGCTGCTTGTGGAAGGTCAATGAAAGAGGTAATGGCTAAATTTTTGTTCGAGCAACTGAGTAGATGGTGATAGCAATTTCTGCAAGAAAGTACCCAAATTAAAACAAAGACATTGCTGTACATACAAACTGTTGCTACTTACATAAAAATACGCCCCCATAAAAAATAAAAGGATTAAGGAGGGAACTGATCCAGTCTCCTCATTCATCCCCCCTTCCTAATCCTGACCTATTCATGTGGCTGACACTACTCCCCACCACACCCATGCAACTGCTGAAGTCAGGAACAGGCTGGAGCACAGAGCAGCAGCAGAGGGTCACCCATGGAATCCCTTGCCTTCCAGATACAGGGCTGTACCCTTGTAGGCGATTCTCCCACCATCTATAAACAGCACACACTCCCCAGAAACTTAAACCATGAACAAAACACACATGCTCCATCTTCAATCACGCTGAACAAATAAACCAGAAATGATGTTTACGAAATCTGTCAATCTGAAAGAGGCCTACCTAATATTAGTTCTGAATCTAAATCTGAGTACAGCTGGGTTTTTGAGACTTCATGTTACATTGCTGCAGGCTTCTCTGCGGGAGCGGGACTGTTTAATTACCTGTCCCAGCTGCATTTAACAACTCAACAAATCAACCGTTTCATCTGTCTCTTTCAGTTGTCCATCCCTTCGGTATTCTGAGTTCTTAGAGAGAGAGCAGAAAGTGCTAAAATGACAGAAGTGGGTGCAACAGACAGATGATTGATGCCTTCACAAACATCCCATGTTATGCTTTATTGATGCTTATTCAATGTGCTTTGCAAGGGGTCCTATTTAAATTTACAAAGTTAATGAGCGGCAGGGTTTTCATGATCCTGATGTGACAAGTAAAAGATAACAAGGAAATATATCCAAGGAAAAGTATGACCACTGTGTGATTTACTGTCAGTGCTAAAATGATGAAGATCAAATGAGACCAAGCAAGCTAGAGCCCTTCAACCTGTGAGTGGAAAGACCTGTCATGAAGCAAACCACAGTTCATTCATTTTGCTAAAAGCTCTACTTTTAGGACCCTAAAACAAGATATCAGAATGCTCAAGTGAGAATATAAATGATGTTGCTTCGGGGGAAAAAAACCCTTCTGGAGAGGAACAGATATGTCAGTAGGATGGGGGAGGATGCTTCCAAAAAAGCTAAACTCAAAATAGGACAGAAAGAGCCCCATGATTGGTTCTTGTAACACACACACACAGATGTTAAATGCCACTTATATTTAAAAGTTAGAGGGAAAGAAGTACTAATTTTACCATAAATAAAAAACAAACTTTCCAAGAATGAAGTTACAACCTTTTAACAGTGAAACACAGCATAAGCTTCTCGCCCATTTAAAATTTTTAATTCTGAATATTCAAAAAATACACATTGTGTGCTCTTTTGTGCAGAAATACAATGAAGGTTCTTTTTAGTGGCCTAACACCAAGGTCAAGAGTCAATTGGCATTTATCATTTTGTTTTGTTTATCATTATCATTTTAACTATCACTGATGTTACCTGCCTAGCCCACACGGTATTTGAGCTTTTGACACCTGATCTAACACTTTGTACTTATGACTCTTGTTCTACCTTTGCTCTTGGTATTTCCTCCACCTGGAATATCCAGTTATTTCCCGGAACCCATTCTTCAGGGTATACTTCAAGCGCCATCCTCCCAATAAACCTCCTTTATCTTT